ATTTAATAACAATACTAAGGATGCAAAAATTTTCTCTTTTCTGTTATGTCACCGTTGCTTGAGAATTTGCTGGAATCTCCCTCCCCTGATCTCTCTGGCACAAATTCTTTACATGACAGTGATTATTTTAGAACTCATGCCGCAGTCGTGAACTCACTGTGAAGTAGAATGACTTGCAGTAGAATGTGCCGTGATGTGTTTTGCAGTGCAGACGTGATTGATTATCTTGTGAAGGGGTAAGGTCTCTTAAAATACGGTGAAGGTGGTGGAGATCTCGAGTAGAAAGTCCCTTATGAGAAGTCTCCTTCAGAGGTTGACTCTGTAATTCATTATACCTTTAGGCAGGCATGTTATTACTACGTATCCTTTATACTAGTTCCACAAGAAAGTAGCAAAGGACACAAAAACAAACTTGCATCTATGGTATGTTCAAAATTTTAATTTCTGGAATATTCCTTGGAGTGAGTACAGTATCCACCTTTTCCAGTTAGCCACCACCCATGTAGAAGTCTGCTTTAGAAATAGCAGTAACTTACTGTAGTGTTAGCTGGGTAGTGTTAGACTCCTTTATGAGATTAATTTTGTTAAGCAAATTCTGAGTAAGAAGTCAAAGTGTGTAATGTATTTTAGAGTTCTATTCCAGAAAAGAGAGAGAGTGAGTGTGTGTGTGTGTGTGTGTGTGTGTGTTAGTGTGTTATATTTAAAACAACAGCTAACTGCTAAAGGGAAAATTTTAGCTACGTGGTTATATTGCAGAAATAATTTTCATTGTACTTAATTGTAATGTCCTATATTGTTTTTATGTAGATTTTTATTATTAATGATATTTTAGAAGAGCTAATCTTTATAAGAAGGAAAAAATTGTGTGTTTTTGGAGAATTAATTTATATTTTGGAATATGCATGTATCTGCAATATATGAGAATGTGTGAAGAGTCTTTCATTGAAGTTAGCATTGTGAAAATTTAGTAGAACACACACATGCATTCCTTATTTTCAGCCTTTAAAGTATTATTTGAAAATGCCAAATCCATTTAAAATTTCTTGTAAGTCTTAATAAATACTTTCCTTAGGTGAATTTTTTGGCTATTGCTTAAGGAAGCCTCAATTCTTTCAAGTGGTGAGAAAAGTGAATGCTTCTTAGCAGAAAGTATTCGTTTAGAGAAGAAAGTAATTTTTAAAAAGGAGAAGCACAAGTTAATTTATTTCCTTGAAACTTTGTATCTATTCAAACTTACCCTGTTACTCTGGACCCTATCTAATTATCATAATTTTATTTATGTGCATGACATTAAATTTACATAGAGAAAAAGATGAAAATACAACAAACTCTTAACTGCTAGGGAGGAGACAGCAATTGGGTATAAAAAGGAAGCAGTTTGCTAATCAGCTATAAAGTTTTAGGAGGTGGAGTGTTAATAGAAGATACCTTTGATAATATGAAGAAGTGAAGAAAGAAAAATAGTGATCGTCTAACAACTTACAAGAGAGGCAGCTTGTGTTCAAACTGTCACTGTGTTCCTATTTGACTGTTCCCATGTGACTGCCATTTCACATTTACATAGAATTAAATGTAGGCATTTTCCAGGTTGTTCTAAAAATATATTTTGTAGAAATTTGTTATGTTGAAGGTAGAGAATATGTGTGTTTCTGGCAGCTTGTCCAGTGTTCAGGAGATAATTTTAAATTATTCAACTTTGTATTTTGCTAGATGTCCCTGGGTTCATTTGGAAGTAACTAGAATATAGAGCAAAAGTTGTTAAATATATGATACATACTATATTTTCTTTTTTCGAGACAGGGTCTCACTAAATAGTTTACGGTGGCCTTGAACTCACTATGTAGCCCACGCTGGCGTCCATATCAGTGATCTCCTGCTTCAGCCTCCTAAGTGCTGAGATTATAGGCGTGTACCTCCACACCTAGTTGATGACTTGTATTGGAAGTATAGAATTTGTGTCTTTCGGAATTTTGGTTTTGTTTGTTTGTTTTGTGAAGCAGGGATTGAATCCAGAGTCTTTGTATTGAGTTACATCCCCACTCGTATTTTTTTATTTTGAGACAAGGTCTCACTAAGTTGCTAAATTTTTCAAGCTAGTCTTAAACTTGTGATCCTCCTACCTCAGCCTCTCAGAATACTGGAAACACATTTGTGTAAATAAATTTGAGATACATATAATGCTTACTTTGAGGCACATTAAACAGTTAAGGGCGTTTTGTTAACTTCAGGCCTTAACAATATAAGCTTTGTGTGTCTGTTTGTGTGTGTATGTATTTGTGTATTTTCCTGAAAATTTTTATGCTCTATTTGGGAAGTAGCTGAAATACGCAGATAGAAATAAATGAAAATGAAAAGCAAAAGTTTTATATTTATGGGACATAGTATTTCTATATTGTCAACTTTCTGAAGAGGAAAAACTTCAGAAAAGCATATTGTCTAAGTTACAGTTCAACAGGAGTAAGAAGTAATGGTAACTGCACACAGTAGGGTGACTATAGATAGTGTATTTTATTTTATTTTATTTTATTATTTTATTTTTTGAGACAAGGTCTCAGTATGCAGTTTGGGCTGGGCTTGAGCTCACTTTGTAGCCCAGGCTGGTCTCGAACTTGGAGTGATCCTCCTGCCTCAGCCTCCCGAATGCTGGGATTACAGGCATGCACCACCACGCCTGGCTGGTAGGGTACTTTAAATATCAGAAACCTAGAAGAAAGGATTTTGAATGTTTTCACCATAAGGAACTAATACACGTTTGAGAAGATATGTTTTCCATGATTTAAATGTTCTACAATGTATAGGTGTTTCAAAAGTCACATGATATCATAAATGTGTACAATTTTTATATTTTTATGTCTGTTAAAGAAGAAATACAAATTTTAAAAAGAGTGTAGAAGGTTGAAGATTTCATTCTCCCTTAAAGAAACATTTTACAAAACCAACTGAACCCAAAACTGGGTGATATTTGTCGTATGTGGCTTTGTTTACTCTGCCTCGTTCAGAGTCAGCTCTGTTATCTTCATGGACAGTGCCTTTCTCATGTTTCCTTAAAGAGCTGATTTAGTTATATTGGCAGTGACTGGTAATAGTGTAGTTTTAGGAGAATTTTACCTTTATTGTTCTAATTTTTTTTTAAAGTTTTAAGAGTTGACAATACTTACTTGAATACATAATCAGATATGAAAGATAGATGTCAGATTTTTTCCACATTGGATTAAGGGACTCAATGGAGAAATGACAGTATTAAATAGTTTGAGGACTACATAGCTTCACTCTGGAGGAAGCACCAGAAAGAAGAGTGAGAAGAGTGAGGCCTTGGGGTGTGTAGCTAGCTAAGTGGTAGAGCATGTGCTTAATTAACAGCAGGAAACCCAGGGCCGATTCCCAGCACTATCCCACCCAAAACCAGGGGTAAATATTAAATGATGATTTCATTGGTTATTTTGAATATTTTTTCCTCATCTTTTTTCTGTTATTTTAAACAGCAGCTGCTTCTGCATGAAAATACTTTTGAGCAAATAAGGTGAATATAAACTAATAGGATAAATAGAGCAACTAACAATAAAGCAACCATTTTGGGCAGTTATAACATCGATTTCACTGAATAACCTCCTTCACTGTGAATCTTTTTTTTTGTTTTAATAATACTGAGAAACCATTTTCATGCATATTCAGTTTTTTTTCCACAAGTGGAATGATAACTTTAAGAACTTCATGATGTGGGCAACTGAAGTGAATAGAAAATTCTCAGAAGAAGTACAATTGGCAAATAAATACATGAAAAATGCTCACCATTGTAACCATCAGAAACATGCAATTTAAAACTACACGGAAGGGGCTGGGGATTTAGCTCAGTGGCACAGCGCCTGCCTGGCAAGTGCAAGGTCGTGAGTTTGATTCCCGGTACTGGAAAAAAGTAAAAAAATAAATAAAACTACACTGAGATATCATCTTACCCCAGAAAAAATGACTGTCATCAAAAAATCTAAAGATAACGAATGCTTGCAACGCGGTAGGGAAAAAGGAACTCTTATGCATTGTTGGTGGGAATGTAAACTAGTATAACTACTATGGAACTCTGTGGAGAGTCTCAAAAAACTAAAAATCAAAATTCCATTTGACCTAGCTGGCCCCCTTTTAGGTATCTTCTCAAAAGAGTTAAAATCATCATCTTTCAGGGATTGATGTATATCCATGTTTATAGCAGTACAATTTATAGTAACTAGGTCTTGGAAACAACATATATGTCCATCCACAGATGAATGGGTAGGGAAAATGTATTTATATACACAATGGAGTACTACACCACTATAACGAAAGATAAACATGAGGCATTTGTAGGTAAATGGATCCAATTTGAAAACACAGTGTTAAAAGAAATGTCAGACACACAAGCTTAAATATCACGTGGTTTCGCTTATGAGACACACTGTGTAAACATGCACAAAAAGCAAGATAGAACAGAGATAAATAGGAAGTAGGGAGAGGTTCAAATACTCTCCCAAGCTACATATTCCATTGTTTCAAAAATACTTTAATATATATGGTAATTTGTTTCATTTACACTACTACTTTATTTTAGCTCATTGAAGAGAAAGGTTTGTTTCATTCTGCTTTGTAAGAATCTTTGGTCTGTCTTGGCCTCTTGAGTAACTGTTTTGAAAATTATATACACACTGTATTAACTATTATTCTCTTGTTTTGTTATAAAGTTTTGTTTTATTTTTTCATAAAATCTTCATTATGATCAGATGATCATTGGCCATTGGCTTTTTTCCAGTAGTATATTTAAAGGAATTTTGAATATGGCCAGGGTTGTTTATTTAGTATCTTAAAATGAATTTTGAATAAAGACTATCTCAGAATTATTTGTACATATGTGACTCACTTCTTAACTTATGAAAAGTAAGTAAAGAGGTCAGTGTCTTTAAAAGAAATTTTCAGTATCTTGCTTTGTTTTTGATGCTTTCAAACACCTTTTCATTTTTTCATTATTCTTCCAGGGTGATATACCGTCTGTTGAGTACCTCTTGCAAAATGGAAGTGACCCAAATGTGAAGGACAATGCTGGATGGACACCATTGGTACTTTTCTTTTTTCCTTTTATTCTGGGATTTTTTTTATTCTCCTTCTCTCTATGTTTATGTTTTACAGTTTATAGTTATGTGGTTGTCTATGTATCATTCTCTGCCACTGACACACACATTTTTAGCCTGATGAATTCGTGTTTTCACTGAATATGAGAAAATAATTATTTTCCATCTACTTTTTCAGTTGTGACAGGCAAAAAAATTGGCTACCTTTTGACTACTTTTAGATTTAGAATCTAGCTGCACTACATTGCTGAATTAGCTCATGTATAGAGGTAACTTACTACAGTTGACATGAGGTTTCATTTTACAGCTTGCTTGTCACTGAAACCCAATTTCGCAAAATGAAGTCAGAAGGACTGAGTATGGCACATGATCACAAAGGAGTACTTCTTACTGAAGATCTGTCTTAGCTTTAATTATACCCTGTCTGATATAATTGCAAATAGATCAAAGCAGTAGAAAGCTTTTCTTACATTAAATATTTTTAAATCTTTGCTTTTTATTACTATAAATATAGTATGAAGAATATTTAGGGAGGAAAATGACAAAAACACCTGGAAAAATTTGGTACACAGTCCAGTTACATTAAGAGAATAAGTGTAAGGTTTGAATGCATTCATAGAAGAATCAACAAGTGAGGTGGATTCTAGAACTTAGGAGATACTCATTAGATCAGGTGCAGAAAAAGTATGATGGCATGTATAATGACTTCTCCTTGCCAAAGTCTTAAGTACTGAGGGTGTATCTGGGTCAGCATCCCTGTAATGTTTGGACTCTGCTGGCTTACTGATCTTTCTCAAAGGCTAAACTTAGTTTTAAAGCCACTAAGGCAAGTTATGATAAAGATTGATGAGTGATTTAAAAGGATCTGATGCCTAATTTGAATTCCTTTCTCCTAGAATAGACCTACAGATGGTGAGCATGGTGTCACCTATTATGAATAGAAGTAGATGTACTAAAAAGCATGGTATACCAGAGATTTAGGAGAAGTCAACATTGTGGCATTGGTGGAGTTCATTAGGCATGAGGAAAGATTTGTGTGTAAGGCATCTGTGAGCATTCTGCTGATAGCAGTTATGTCATTCATTTCTTAAGCTCTTTTCAAATACCTATGCTATGTTATTTCTTTTGTCACTGACACTAGTTATCCAGTAATCCTTTGTATCATCAAAGAGAATTTGTATAATAAGCATATCTGGGATATCCACTCTGTTGGGTAGATATGTGTTTATGGTGGTCCACCATTCGTGTATGACTTGATACAGTGAAGAAAAATTTCAGATTTTACCCATGGTGTGGTTTTTAAATACTCTTTCTTACTGTTCAATTGTAAGACAAACTTAGAAGTTATAGTTGAACTAAAGCTACATTTTATTTTACAAAAAGAGCATTTGACCAAGCCTTGTCTTTTCCTGAGAATTGCACAGATTATTGTTAGTGACTTTTACTCTGTCAACGACATAAGGTCTGTATGCATAATATGTATGTTAGAATAATTTACTGACTGTGGTTCTGATTTCTTTCTCTAAAGTGTAGTATTATATTATCCTTATTATTTTTCTCTCTCTTAATTAGCATGAAGCCTGCAATCATGGACACCTGAAGATAGTAGAATTGCTGGTCCAGCATAAGGCCTTGGTGAATATCACTGGCTACCAGAATGACTCGCCACTTCATGATGCAGCCAGGAATGGGCACCTGGACATAGTGAAGCTCTTACTGTCCTGTGGAGCCTCCAGGAGTGCTGTGTAAGTAGTCATCATCTGACTAACCATTGGGTTCCACACTGAAGATCAGCACTTGTGCTCTTTTTTTTGAAGAAACAGGTATTTTGAGATTTGCTGTGTTACTTCAGAAACGGTTGTCAAGTCCATTTTGGAATTTTTTCATTTTTTACTCTATACATTGATTCCTACATATAAAACAGTGTCATTAACTTAATTATTTTATGCTACTTAATTCTTTAGAATTATTTTAAATATCCCATTCTTTAGCTTAACAACAGTTAAAAGTGTGTAAGAATTCAGATATGGGGCGAGTGCAGCTGAATTATTTCTTAAAGATTTTTTCACATTATTCAAATGAGGCTCTGAGTAAATTGTTTTGCAGTGTCAGGGTACAGAGGCACATTAGTGAGTGCTGGCGGCTGCATTTTAAAATTGCTGTTGTCAAGAGTATCACAAACAAATGCTATATGTAGATTTTATATCTTTAATCTGTAACTTGGCTCATGTCTCCCTATATATTATTTTACTCTTTTCAGTTAATTAGATGGTTGAAATGAAAATGCAAGAATTGCCTCTCTGTGCCCCCATTGCTTCTATAGACTGGGAGAGAGCACACAAAAGTCAGGCTTTCCCTGGTTGCAAAAGCGAGTGAGAATTATAAAATGCAGTTTCTAGGTTGTCACTTTTTATAGGTAAACATTTATCATAATTAAAAACAAATTAATAATGCAGGAATGTACAATACCATTGTGCTGTTAATGTCATCCATCTCTTTTATTTCCCACCACAAGTTATAAAACAGTTGTGATATATATGTATATATGTGATATATAGTCTTTTTTACAGTTTTCTGTGTGTGTGTGTTTATGTGTTTGAATGTTTGTACACATGAATCTAACAGTACTTCATAAGGGTCTAACAGATACAACCCTCCTGTGGGTGTGTAGTAAGCCATTTGAAGAAGCAAGTGATTTCTTGGGTCAGGTGAAACTGAATAGTTCCATCCTAGGGTTCTTAAATCAGCTGTGACTACTTTAATGAATGGAGCACTGGTCAGGGTGTTAGGGAATCCAGTTTTATTTGTGACTCCATTATTGACTTTATAGCTATAGGCAGGTTAATTTCTGTGCCTTGGTATCCTCACCTATAAAACATTGGTGACGCCTGCTGCTTTTCTATTTCTTTAGAGCATAGTGAGGATTAATGAGCCAAAACACAGAGCCTGTCCTGTGGTTTGTACACTGTGACTCTTACACTGCAGTGTGAGGACTTAGGAATATACAAGGAATTGGGCTGGGACAGTGAGTGAGTCTCCTTCAAAAGTGTCTTTCCAGGGAGATCAGGTACCTGCTTTGATTGGTTTGTTTGGTAAAATGACTGACTCATGTGTCTCTATGTAGCCCAACACTGTGCAGTAGACCTTTGTGCACTTGTGGAAATGTTTGTGCCAGTGCTGGGCATTCAGTAGCCACTAGTCACCCATAGCTATTGAACACTTGAAAATTGCCTGTCACTACTGAGGTATTAAATTCTCAAATGTATTTAATTTAAATAGCCCACCTGTGCCAGGTGACTCGTGCATTGAACAGCTGGTTGATACAAATCGGGCAGTTGGGAAAGAGTGACGAAGAGGTCAGGATTGCTGCTGGATAAAGAGAGTGGGCAGATGCATATATGACCTTAGTGCTCAGGTATAAGAGGGTGACTGCTATTTTTAGAAATTGTTACTCTCTACTTCTGGTTATCATAGTGAACTACTTCTGTTTTTTTCTTTTTGTTTTATGTTGTACTTTTTATCTCATTGGCTTTACCGGTTTTCCTGTTGATTTCCTCTTTTGATTCCTTTGCCATACTGCAGCCTTAGTATTTAAAAAAAAAGTATAGGTCTTGCCAAATCATGTTACTTAAAAATCTTTAGTGGCTTCTTTATAATGTATTTAAAATACTCTTCAAACTCAAACCTGGCTTTTAAGGCCCTCACTGGTCTGAAGTGCTACTTACTTTTCCTCCTTATGTCTCTTTCCACAGTTCCTCCTGTACCCCTTTCCTTCAAGCAATTTTTGTATTAGCCTTTCTGAATTTTTATTTCCTTCAAATGTGCCAGGCTGTTTTACCTCCTTGCCTTTATACATGGCTTTCACATTGTCTATCTAAGAGTCCATTGTTAAGGAAGAAAGATTGCTTTAATCTTGGATAATGAGAAATTTTATATCATTTAGTATTTGTTGTTTGGGAATTTCTATACTGGAAACTGTTTAAGACTTCTATGAGTCAGTACTTACTAGAGAAAGAGATTTAATGCAGATATACAAATATATAAGAATTTACAAGATTGCCTTACAGTGGCCACCAGAGTCAGGTGTGGAAGAGTGCAGAAGAGCTGTCTGTGTACTAGAGATGTGAAGAATCCAGTCAAAGGTCTGGAGCTTTGTGGACACTGACTTTCTGTAGTATGTGGACACTGTAGTGTCCTGTGCAAGTCTGCATCAGGAGGCCAACGGGTCCATGATGGAAGCTTGAAGGATCTGTGCTGGAGGCTGAAGAGTCTGTGCTGGAAACCAGGAGATGACATGCAAGGTGGAGGTGAAGACTGGAGCTCTGGAGTGCCTCAGAGGAAATAGAAGGTGGCCTTCCTTGTTTCCCTTTCATTCCATTCAGGTGTCAAGCCTGTCAGAGGTGCTGTCACTCACACCTTAAAAGGGTGGGTCTTCTGTTTTCAGTAAATCCCCTCAGCCACACCTAGACTGTGCTGATCCAACTTAATTGGGCGTTTCTTACTCAGGTTGACACAGTTAACTATCACAACCTCATTGGCCTTCCATTTTCCACACTACCTTCTGTACATCGCAGAGTGGACCTAGGATGAAAGTTCTTGTTGCTTAGAACCATTTGTAGTATGTGGAGAATTTTAATGTGTGCTTTGTGTGTGTCTGAGTCTTAACAGATACATAGAATGTAGGATTTGATACTTGCTCTGCTGTTACTAGATTTTTTTCTTGAAAGGATGTTGAATTCTTAAGTAGAGGATATTATATGGGCCATTGGACCTATTATTTCTCCTCTTGCCCTAGTTACTTCTTTTTTAAAAAAAATGAACCACCTACAACAGGGATAATTTATGTTTTAAGGCTTTATAAACCATGTTGCTCTTTTGAATGATTGTGCTTTTTCCTGCTCACAGCAAGCAAAGTGATTTGAAATATTAAATCTTTGTATTTGCAATTTTATAGTTGTTCATAAAGGATTTCATTCATGGATTGTCGTGGCATTCTGTCATGCATGGTAGGTTTGGCATTAGTAAAAATGCCATGCATATATTTTTGCATATTGGATGATCTGTATATGCAGGTACAGGTTTAAATTTGTCCATCTCTCCTTTCTCATTTTTACTATTCACAGCACAGTTGTAGGTGGGTGTGTCTCGTGTCATTTCTGTAAGGAAAACAATACTAAGTGGTTTTTCTGCATTCTGAACTCTTCCTTTGCCTGAAACATTAAATACCTGAGCTTAACCCTTTGCCAAGTGTTTCTCTTTCATCAGGCTTGGCGATCAGAAAGAATCCTTAAGAAAATGATTTTCCTGTTTATCTGGTTCAGACTCTTAATCTTCAGATTGTACAGGCAGGAAAATGAAAAGTTATCCTTTAATATTAAAAAAATCATAAGCCTATACTTACTAATTATTTGAATCTGAATTGTCATTACAAAAGTGGGCATAAAGTATACCTTAAAATTGGGGAAAATGATGGTAAGAGGCTAACAGTTGAACTCTTCCTGTGTTTTCTTGTTTTTATTCCGTATCTGTCTCCTAATAATGCAAATATAGCTATTAATAGCAGTCACCAAGCTGGTACAGTACTATATGCCAAGTACTATTCTAATCACTTGTAATGTGTTCACTGGTCTTAGTAGTAATCTTAAAAGATGAGTTGCATTATTACCCTCATTTTTACATACAAGGAAGCAAGCACAGTAGTTCTAATTTGTCTAAAGTCACACAACTTTTAATAGGCAGAATTGAAATTTAAATTCAGGCATTTGTATTCTCTCTCTTTCTCTCTCTCTCTCTTTTTTTTTTCTTTGTACTGAGATTTAAACCTAGGGGCTTTGCACTGCTGTACATACTCCTAACCCTTTTTAAGTTTTGAGCTAAGGTCTTGCTAAGTTGGTTGGACTGGGTTTGAATTTGAGATGCTCCTGCCTCAGCCCCCCTAGAGTACCAGGATTATAGGCATCCGTCACTGTGCCTGGCTTGGAATCCTGTCTGTTAACCACATGCCTGGTTGATGCCATCCTCCTGCTTACAGCTATTTCTAGATATGTTCAGGGCCTCTTCTTTCCCTGAAAAGAAGATCTGACCTTTTCTTTTTAGTATATATGCTGCTGAAGTGAGCGCAAGACCCAACCTTTAACATTACCCCTTCGTTCTTACATAATGTGGCCCATTTATAATTTCAGAACAACCCGTTCCTTGTAGTGCACTTTTTTTTTAAGTCTGTATTTCTGATATGCCACGCTTTTGCACTTAACATACTTCATACACTTTCCTACCTCTGTATTCCCTACTCTTTCCTTTTTCAGAAAGCTCTGGAAAACTTCACTAAATTTCACAGTCCTCCTTATGTGCTTCTTTCTGTTTTGTCCACTGAGCTTCATAAAGGCACAAACAGCTTTTTATGTCATTGGTTCATTAGTGCCTAAAAGAATTCTTGATACATTAAGAAAAAAAGGGACTTGATGAACAAATTAATAGTCTTCAAACTGATTACAAAGCAGTATTTATAATTTCCCCTATGTGTACAAGCAAGTGTACTCATTCTGTGTGTCATATAAATGACTGTTGCTAGTGGTAAAATACGCATCTCATCTATACATGTGTTACATATGTATCCATTTTCATATAGACTCTACTGTCAATGTATGTCAGAATAAATGACCCTCGAATATTTCTCACTCAATAAGCAGTATCTTATGAACACTTAGATCTGTTAAGGTTTTAAAATTTAAGATCTTTATCTTTAAAAGCTTTATAATGAAACATTTTCCAAAGTATGATTTGAAATCACAGCCAAAAAAAAAAAAAAAAATAGGGCAGGAATAGATTAGAAAAAAACCCTCAAAAAATCTGTGTACTCTGTTATAAAGGAGCGGGGGGAAAAATGGAATTAAAGGGTATCCTCTTTGTCAAAAATCATGGAAAATGCTTCAGTACCTAGAAAGAAAGTGTAATTCTTAGGATTCACGATATATAAAGTGTATTATTTATATATAATCATATGAAATTTATTGAATTATAAGCAACTCTCTTTGATAGGGCCTTAAATAACTAAACTGTCAAAAGTGGTACAGGTGAGAGTTAATGGCATTCTCATGAATTGCATGTAAATTTAGCAGTTAAGATGCTGAGATTTTCCTGTATCCTGATAATATCTTTAAGTACATTGGTGTTGCATCAACCTATATAATTTAACTAATAGACATGTGTGCCTCTGGATTTTCACAGCTGCATTTTGTCTGTGCTTCTAGCTCTAGTGTTCAGTCAGCCTTATGCTGCCTGTTTTATTGTTTCTTGTATTTGGCCCCTACGTTTGAGCACATAGTGATTCCACTCTTCAGCTTAATAGAAAGCTTTCTTCCATCAGATTCATACATTTCGGCAGTGGAGAGAGTCCTTGCTCAGGCTTTTTACATTCATCTCAGTATTCCAGTTTCTAGTCCTGGGCTCAAGGCCATTTCCCTTGCCACTGTGTGTGCTTCACCTGCTTGGAAATCATCTACATTTCATCTCATTACTTGTGGTTTGCTTTAGACTTTATCTGTTTGATACTTAGTACTGAACGGGAATTTATCCTTAGTAAGATTATAGGCAAGGACAATATTTTCTAAATCTTAGCATAGCTTTTTAGGATATCTGATTTGAGTGTTTAATGCCAGTCTTTTGGTTTAATGCCAGAAAATAAGAGAACATACTATATTTTTAAAAAAATCATTCTGTAATCTTCCTTTGTAACCCTTTCTAATAAAATAGTAAATTATTTATATCTATCTTGAGTTCATGCTATTGCAGTAGATCTTTTTGTGTTTGTTTTGAGATGGTCTCTCCATGTAGTTCAGGCTGGCTTTGAACTCACTAAGTAGCCTAGGTTAGCCTTGAACTCACAGTGATCTTCCTGCCTCAGCTTCCTGAGTGTTGGGATTACAAGTATGTTTCATTATTCCCAGATATGTTGCAGTAAATCTTCTCTTAAAAAAAAACAAACTGATTGTGTGATGGGGAATAACTCATTTATCACTGTCTACAGTTAGCCATCACATTGGTAGTGCCTGGTGTTTGTGACATGTGATTTCTCCTTGTCCTTCCTTAGTACCTGTAGTACCTTTGTTTTTCCCCAAAGGAAATAGATCTAATTCTGTGCATTTTATGATTTTTCATGCTAGGCCTATAACCCAAGTGTTAGTCCATTCATGTGTATGATTATGTGAAGAAAGCACACCTTTCTTGTGCCCAAATCATAAAGAAGAGATCTTACACAGGCCCCAACTATTGCTATGGTTTTTTTGAAGTTTCTACATATAAACTGTGTCTTATTCCACATTTGAGTGGTTGACAGCAAAGCAGAGGCAATCTGACAGGATTTGTTGGTTCTTTCTGCATGATGTGGGACTGGTTTAATTGATTATCTCTCTGTAGCATTTATAACATACTGTTCTTTACTTTGCTAGCAGTACAGGAGAGCTGAAGCACCTTTTGTATAAGCAGAAGCTGTCTGTAACGTAAGTGGAGAATGATTTAAGGACATAGGAAATAGTAAATTTCGTTGTAAAGTAAGGGTCCTAAATGTAAATAGGATTCCTGCTGGCCAATTTACAAAGCAGTTCTTTAGAAGGCAAAAGCCCCTGACTGGTTCAGATGGTTGTTTTTTCTTTTTGGTTTAAAATGCTGACTAGCTGATGGTGGTACTTTGAGAAGCATTTTGAGTTAATGATTTTTCATGTTATTTTGGACACCTATTTGTATTGGTATAAAAAAAGCTATGCTGATGTCATCCAGTTACTGTGCATTAAAAATGCACTTTTGTCTTTCTTTGAGGTATAAAATTAATATGTTAAAATGTCCTCATGTGTTCAGCGACGTTTTTGTTGTTGTCTACTTTTGTACTTGGTAGTTTAAGAACTATAGTATTGGTTCTCTAACTCAGATTTCTCTTTTTGGATTTTCATATTTGTAGCATGTATGTGTGAGGAGATTGTATACTGGTATGTGGCACAATGATTTAGAGTATGAAATTAGGAAGTATCAAAGGGGATGATATTCTTCTAAAATACTGTACTCTGAGTTTGTCTGCTCTAAAGTGGACAGTGACTTGTGCTACTTTGTGATAAACCAGGAAGCGGAAGCACAATCAATTGAATTTACTTTGAATGGAAGTCTGTCAGATGTAAACTATGTAAACCTGGGCATAAAGTAGAACTTGAAAATATATACAAACTTCTCTTTATTTATCCAGCATTGTCCAGAAAAGGAGTGATGATGATTATGAATAACAGTCTTTAGAAACACATTTGTTGTGGCCCATTTCTTATCTTAATCCACTAACTTTTTCCCCTTCACTATGCCATTGAAGCAGACAACACACGTGCCCTTGTAGAGACTTACAACTCTCATGTACATGACCTCTGTGCAGTGTCAAACAGTTAACACGTTCCCTCTTAATGTTCCACAGTTTCCTTCTGACCTTTTTCTACACGCTCAATACAATTTATAAAATTCATGTACCATGTTTATTATTTATGTCCTGTTTAACAGGTTGCATTTTTCCTCTGAATTCTTATTTGTGATTCTGTGGATGGAACCCTGGGCCTTAGCAAGTGATGTCTCACTGAGCTACATCCCCAGCTCTCATGAACTGTAATGATAGCTATCTGTAACTTTTTAAATATATATAATATATATTTATATAGAATATATATCGTAATGTTAAAAACCATAAAAGATTGTAAGTAGGTGTTCATTTTGAAACTGTATTGCCATAGTATGATATGTTAAAATAATACATTGAAGCTATATACAGTCATATACACCTTGGTATTGAACTGCTGTGAAACTCACTGAATTTGGTATGTGACATGCAAGCCAGATCTTGGTGTGGATTTTCTCTTGACTTACTACTCTTTCCAGTCTAAGATTTGTTTGGTATAATTTGTTTTATACCTTTCTACCTCCCAGAACAAATGAATTAACAGTGAGTACCTAAGTACAACTGTATATGGCAGTACAATAATAGACAAAGTCCTATAGTTTTAGCAAGTTACTTATAACCAGAAGACTAAAGATGGGCAATATTGAATATTACTGGAACAAACAAGGAAAATGAGATCTTAGTCAAGTCATTGGAACCTGCTTGTTTCTGCTTTCCTTGTCTAAAAAGGATTGAGGTTATATTGTGATCTCCAGAGATTTTTTCCAGTGTATTATTCTGTGGCTTACAAATTAGTGCATGCAGAGAATCCTGGATCACATTGTCTTTTGAACCATAGTGTTTTTCAACAATGGTTGTGGTCATTGTAGATCATATATACACATTGAAATTAGTTTTTAAAATGCTTTGTTCACTATTTTAGTAATGTTTGTCATATCAAAGTTTTCTTTTCAATGGATCTAAATGCCTATCCTGTGAATTTATCTAATCTTGAAAGCCTGTAATAGCTATGGAAGATGACTTATATTTCAATGTGAAAACATCCCATCCGTAATGATTAATGATTAAGAAATCGTATTTTGAAATATGAATAGGAATACACAAGAATGCAAAATTGTGAAAAAAATCGTATGTAGATTATAATATATTCAATTAAAATACTCTATAATCTAATGTTAAATTGAAATTTCACATCTTTTCTCTGTTAAATTCAGCAACTTTTGTTATTCAGTCCTTATGCCTAACATGAGTTCTGAGTCATTTATTGTCGTTAAAGTTGTGTGTCATTAAGGGTGTTGGAAAAACTGTTCCACCAGTACATTCATTTTAGTAAGAATCAAGTCACACATTTTATTTACTTAAATCCATCTGCACTTATTTTATCAGTAACATATTTGGTCTGCGGCCTGTGGATTGTACAGACAATGAAAATATGAAGTCATTATTGCTGCTACCAGAGAAGAATGAATCATCCTCAACTAGCCGTTGTGCAGTTGTAAGTATGGATGTAGCATTGGGACATTTATATCTTTTATTGAAATTGGTTATGAAAGGAACATAATGAAAAAATTTCCAGTTAGCAAATTGCTTTCATTCACTAAACAGTTATTGAGTACTTCCTGAGTATTAGCTACTGTAGATTCAAAGACATAATCAGACTAAGTCTATCAAGAAATACTTATTAAACCTGCTCAGTATTTTAGGCGGCATTCATATAACAATGAATATGACTGATAGAACTCTTATTTCAAGGAATTTACTTGCTAGTGAGAAGTAAAAAAAAAAAAAAAGACTGTGTATCTACGCTAATATAAATAAAATGACTTCAGAAGCTTGTATTTGAAGATTCTGTGGAGCATAATTGGGTAGAGGTAGTGGTCTTCTGAAAGGGCACTGTTTTTTCTAGGGCTGTTGAGGAGAGCCTTTAGAGAACTGATATGAATTCAAACCTGACTTCTTACATCCTTACAATCTCAGCACCCTGGGAGACTGAGGCTGGAGGCTCAAGCCAGCCTGGCCAACTTAGCAAGATCCTGTCTCAGAATGAAAAGTAAAAAAGAAAGGAGCTGGAGGTACAGATGCACCTCAGTGTTAAGGCCCTAAGTTCAATTACCAGTACTGGGGGGGAAAAAACCCATAAAAAGGATAGTGCTGAGAAGGAGGCAGCCAGGTAACAGTCTGACGGTACATAGGCCTTCATTGGATGAGCCTGGCATGTGTGAAGGTTAGATAGAACATGGAGACCACTGAATAAGAGTAGTGAGAAATTGTTAAAAGGATTAAGAGCACTAAAAATTCATGGTTAGCTTTTGCTTTAGAGTTCACTCTGTCTGGTTTATGAAAGGGACTGTATGGCAAGAGTAGAAGCAGAGAGATCACTCAGGACTGTTTATCATGCCAGGAGGATACCAACATGGCCTGGGCTAAGGGAATGGCAGAGGAGACTATAAGAAGTCAGGAAGTGTAGTATAGACATTTGAGTTAATGCCAGTAGGGCATTCTGATGAATTACATATGAAGCATGTGGAAAGACTGGAATTAGCATGTGATACCATTGCCGCCATGGGGAAGGGAATTAGTATCCAGTTTGTCAGTTTTATGTCTGCAAGATATCAACTGGAGATTTTGAATAACTAGTGGGATATATGTGAATCTGGAGCTTAGGAGAAAGGTATAAGCAGAAATGGAAAATATGCCTTTTCCTTAACCCATGCCTTACTGGCGAGTATGGATGTAAAATTTTTAGTACACATTGTAATAAATTCATACTAGGAGCTATTAAAATATTCAGTACAGGGGCTGGGGATTTAGCTCAGCGGCAAAAGCGCCTGCCTGGCAAGCGCAAGGTCGTGAGTTCGGTTCCTGGTACCGGAGAAAAACCAAAAAAAA